TACTATAGTATAGAAATGTTTTCTTTTCCAATTATTATATTGTAATATATTGTAGAGAGTTTCAATAAAGTCATTATTATTATTATTATTATTATTATTATTATTATTATTATTATTATTATTATTATTATTAATAATCGATTATAACCCACGACCCTCAGATTTGTACTACCAATGCACTACCAGCTAAATTACAAGTCCAGACCGGGAGCAGGTCGGGGTGAAATAGATGCGGAGATGCGGAAATAGATACGGTAATTGTTACAGTAATATGAATATATGAATTATGTATGTATGTGTCAACCCAGCTCTGATAGTCAATCAACCGCAATTGATGCTATGCAAAAAATACATTGTTGATGTCAGAGGTCGGAAAATTTCTTAATTCTGAAACAACCAAAACCTTGGTTAATGCTTTTGTTACTAGTAGAATAGCTTACATTGTAGGTCAGTATGAACTTCCTGCATACCAACTGCATACTCTGAATGTCTGAACGCTGCAAAAAGACTCATCTGTAATGTTGGCCTACTCCAATGTTGCTCATGCTCAGGCTCTCATCGAGCTACGCTGCCTTCCTATTAAATGCAGAATTGATTTAAATTTTTATTAGTCGGACTAGCCGAAGGCTAGGTCGACTTAGGTTTTACCTTTTAGCCAATCTATCTATCTATCTATCTATGTGTCATGTCGCGTTTGGACCACTGGAAGTTAAGAATTTAATAATTAACTATTGGGTTGTCTGTGTTATTACATGACCGGAAGCTCAAACGTATAGATGTACAAATATATCAATTGAATAAATTGAAGAAAAAGGCACACAACTTGCACTCTTTATTAGAACGTTTCGGCACTTCGGCCTTCTTCAGCAAACAAATATATATCGTTAGTTTAAATGTCAGATTCTACTTGCGCTTTTATGTGATAAAAAAACTATTCGTTTACAAATGTGGTATCTGTGATCTCATCGGAATGCATCAGTCTAGCCATCAGAAGTACGCGCATGTGCGGATCGCATGGAGCTTCGAGTAGTATGCTTACGGAACTGAACTCTAGGGCTAGACAGTTTTGTTTGGACAAAGATTTCAAATTAGAACAAGAAGAAACTTTGTTGATCAATAACARAAAGGCGACTTTGATTATTTTATAGGCATCTTTTTAAAAGTATTTATTTTCTTGGCCTGAGAGGTCAACAATTTGAATTAAAAAAGTATTAGATATGATATCACTTAGAGACATCTAGTCTCTAAGTATTAATTACATGACCTTTTAGGTCAAATTTAGATTTCTATCGTTTTGAAGTCGTTGCAGAGAGCAGTCGAAAWGAATATCGTATCGTGTGAATAAACGGTCGCGCATTCTTTCTTTCACTATGTATCAGAAGTAAAAAATATAATATTCTACGCCATGATATACATTCAAAAATAGCTAGTCCGACTTCACGCTCCAAGAGCGTGCGTCTAGTTACTTTTAAAGAACTGAATGCCTTCGATCGCTTCTGCATGAACCATAGCCAAGTGAATGGGCTACCTGTGTACACTTGATGGACAGTCGGGGACTGGTTCTCTAATAATGGCGGCGTCGGAGGGGTGTATAAAACTTGTATTTGTTGTATTCATATCTTTAACGCAAATTTCTTTTCATTGTATTTATGGATCTACCAGAGGAGCTGTTGGGCTTGACAGTCTAACCTTCGATAAGGTCAGTATTATCTGCTTGATGACAAAGGAGTCAAATTACTTTTTACAAAAGTTGTCAAACAATTCTTCGTCGTGTTACAATCTTTAAAGTACTTACAAGGTGCCAAATGAAATGAAATGAAATGCTTTTCATAAAAGAGAAAAGACCTTCTATCAACATTCAAAGTGACTCTGTGAAAGCAAGTCTGTTCACTTAGAATGTTTTCTATTAATAGCTTCSTAAAAATATCTAATATTTCTTTTGTAACTTATGTTAATTTATTCAATCATATTTTCTCTCTACACTTCTACATTATGTTATTATGATCATTTGCTTGATAACGGTTTCATGACGACACCGAAACGTCGCAGTAATAATGCAAAAAAGGGTTTTTTCTTTTGTTATCTTTTCTCTAATCCATTTTACCAATTGAAGAGCAATCTACTTATTGTGCAACCATTTGTTCACCATTTGACTTTAGCTACTAGAATTTGACCCTGAAATGTCAAGGGAGCATTGTGACTCCCTATAAAGTTATATAAAAAACTGCCCTTTAAAAATTGATTGCAGATTTTTTCATGTGCTTGTCTATCGTTATGATTATTAGTCATCAATGGCCTGAGGAATATTAATCTTGAGTTGCAATCATAGGTTGATTTTTTTTATCAGATTATTAAGAACCATAGAGCTGTTTTAGTGAAGTTTGACAAGCAGTATGCCTATGGTGACAAAGAGGATGTTTTTAAAGAATTTTGCAAAAAAGCAGCATCTCAACCTCAATTACTAGTTGCTGAGGTTGGAATTTCTGGTAAGAGCATTTATTAATAATTAGTGTCAATGATACATTTTCTACTTTTGTTATCTAAAAAGATTTAATAGCCTGGAGAATTATAGTTTGTTTTAGAGTGAGTTGTACACACAATTTTTGCAATGTACTGGTATACTATGATAAGGAGAACATGATGGACGGCTTAGACTATTTTTCTCTAGTATTAAAGTGTTGTCAGTTTAGGAAAATAAAGAGTATGGTTGGGAAATACAGACTAACCAAGCAACTGGTAYAGATTTTGATATCTAGATCAAAGAAGCTTGATTTGATTTGATTTTGACCATTTCATTGATTGAAACACAATACTCCAGTTTTGAGATCTTATTTGTGCAGCCTTAACCTCAACAGCATGTATTCAGCAGAGATCCTATTGTAATGCAAAAACTCTGTGCACAAAGAAATAAATAAAAATTTTGCTTGATTGAAGCTAAGTTTGAACAAAAGAGAATTTGAAACTGGATTATTCAAAGACAAGACTGGACATGACATTTTCAGGCAGTTTATCTTCAACACTTTCTGTCAGTTGAGCTAAAGCAGTGGATTCACAAAATTGCAGGCCTACCCAAGAGAATCAGTAAGAGACTGGAGCATGTTATTGCTATTCTAGTCCCTTTTTCTGTGTAAATTCCTTCATAYCTATTGCCAAAGCATTTCTTAATGATCTTTTACAGAATATGGTGATAAAGAGAATAGTGACCTAAAGGAAAGATTTCAGTTAAAGAAGGAAGACTTCCCATACTATATGCTGTTTCTACAGGATTCTGTAGATCCCATACACTATAAAGGAGAAATCAATGGGAATGATTTGATAGCGTTTGTGTCAAAACAAGCTGGCCTTTGGATTGGTAAGATAATTGTAATGAAGATTTTGTACATTAATTTTAGAATATGTTAATGATACGACCAATAATGGCCACCCAAGTGCATTTACAGGAGGAGCAAACAGGGTCTGTTCTTCTAAACAACTGTTCTTGTACGAATTTTTCCTGGGAAAGGGATTTTGAGCTACATTGTTGACAATATCACAAGCAAGCATGCAAATTTGGTGCCCTTCCTTCTTTAAAACAATTTTGTTCCAGGCAAACGTKTTTAAGGTCAAAAAAGGTAAAACGGTTTTTATTTTTATTTTTAGTTGAAAATCTTTATTTTCCTCTGGCAAAAATTCTTAGAAAGTTTTCTTTGCCGAGAAATTTCTTTTTTCCTGAATTTCTCGCTGGCAACCAGTTGTGACTTACAGCTGGCTGGGACATAAGAACAGATATATTTCTCCCAGTAACCCGTCGGCTCCTCCTACATTTCTGTGCATTTACAGAGCTACAWTAGTTGGCCTATATCCACCCCTGTAAGAATACTACTTAGAGTTAAMAAGGCGTGTTGCATAGTGATTAAGAAAGAGACAAAATCGTTTTACTATATACGAACACCAATTTTTTTCTTTTTCAATTTATAATAACATACAAGATGATCGTGTCTATTAATGTGAGGCCATAATGTGAGAGATGAATTTTGAGAATGGTCAGTATTGATGCCTAGCTTTTACCGTTCCGCGGCATAATCAGTGATCTTTAAAAAGTACTTTAAGTTACTGATGCTATCAGTTGTGACTATTCCTACTAATATACCGATGATAATCATGACAGCGTTTAAGTGCACACCAAAAAAGTGTGAAACAATTTTGTGGCTTGCACTCTATAACGACTGTAAGAGGATAGCGCAAAAGTGGACGAAATTACGCTGTGGCCGGTCTCAACAATAATTAAATTGAGCCAACATGAATAATGTAGTTTCTGTATTCAAAATTACGATTTCTACTTATACAACTCTTCGATGTTCTTACTTTCTAAAAGTGCTTTGTATCATTTCTGCATTGCAATACTAAATATTCATTGTTTCACGTTTCTCTCTGAGGCTATTTACGTGTCATTTTTGATGTTTTCGCTGTAGGTTTGCCAGGGTGTGTCGAGTTGTTTGACAATTTTGCAAGAGATTTTTTCAAAGAGGAGTCTCAACAGTCTGGAGTTATTAAAGAAGCTGAGGATGTTTTGAGYACCATAACAGACCCAAAACAAAAGACAGCAGGGGACTTGTACATCAAGATCATGAAAAAGGTCAAAGAAAAAGGAGTAGAATTTATCGACATTGAGATCCAACGCGTCAATAAACTCTTGAAGGACAAAATAACCGTGAAGAAACGCAAACTATTTCAAAGTCGTCTAGACATTTTGACGTCTTTTCAACATCTGTCGGTGCGCGAAAAAGTAGAATTATGAATTTGTTTTGTTTTGAGGTCCATGAATAATGTAAACAACGTTGCGATATATTAATCTTCTTCAGTTTGACTTATTTTTTCAAGGTTTTTTTGTATCCCAATTTTTTTAGATTCGTAAAAATAACAATGCCGAAGCAAAGCATAAAGAGGTAGATGTGACGAAATCCKGTCGTTATTGACTCCATCTTTTTTTGTTGCAATTTGGGTTTCTTTGTTACTCTGAACACTTGACGAATTTGGTTATTTGGGGGATCTATTTAAAAAAAAATTCTTCAATTAGGTGATAGGTTTTGAGGTTKTGTTTAAAGTAGGTTTTCTGTCCAAGTGATGTCAAAACTAGAGAAAAATCTACGGCGTGTCCACCCAAACACCTGTTTTTAACCTAAACAATGAATTAGTTGATGGTCGGCCGTTCTGGTGCGGTTTAGAACATTTTTTGGCAAAGTTTCAGCTATACATATACTTTGTATCTTTAAACCTGATTTATCATCAAGAAAAATACAATTCTTAAACTTGGTGATAATTAGCATCTAATTTTAGAGCGTACCATAAATCTTGTTTTGATTGTACGCTTGATTTAAACAAATCTAAACTAGTTACAATGTAAGGTTGTCTCACCTTGAATACGCATTTTTCATATCGATTTTGTGATTGTTGAAAACAAACATGGTTTCATTTTTTTCTTTGGTTAAGAAATTCCTCCCAGTTCAATACTAATAGATACTGTTTTGTATTATACCAATATAAAGTCTCTTGATTATTCCAAATATTAAAAGATGCTACATAAATAATACATCAAAGAAAGCAATACTAAATTGATTCTCTCGCAATCCCACAATTAGCGTGTTACGGTTTTTCAATGTGTTGAGCTGGACATCTACTTTTTTTTCACTTGACACGGACTTAAGTTATTGATCGACGTCATCGATTTGACATTCCAAAGTAACTTGTCAACAGGGGTTGAATCTCAACTGGTGTTATTGAATGCAAACACCGCTCTTCTTTAGTACTACACGTTCCGATGGGGTCGCAGGGCACAGTCGCCGACGTGAAAGAAATCAAAATGGCGTTGAAGGAAAGACATTCTAGTAAAGATCTCTGGTTTGGTTGGCTAACTGTGCGCCCAAAATGGCTGCAAGGTTTAAACAATCCAAAATGCTTTCTTCTGTTCGTTTGCATGTACTTCTTCACTCAAAGCATTGTTGTGAATGGCGTTTATTCAGTATCAATAACTACAATTGAAAAGCGCTTTGGATACTCTAGGTAAGAAAGATTTACTGCACTGGGAACTTTTATTGAAGGCTTCTAGTATCTTTGCAATCAGTGCTCTCCAAAGGAGTCTGAATAACCCAGCATATGCACAAGTATCAGCCTTGAATTAGGATATTAGAAAAGGACCAGTTGTTTTATTACGATGATAACCACTTTTATATACATGATATTTAATTCATCATGGTTTACGTTTTAATTATTCTGCGCTCCGTGAATCAACCTTTTTCTGTGCATGGCTGTGGCTTTGAAAAACTACAGTAAGCGTTTATAATCTGAGGATTACACAGTACATACAGCTGTAAATGTATTTGAAGTACTTTTAATGTATTATCAGTAATATAAGCTCTATTTAGTGTGTTTATATGTCGTCGTGAGAGAACGAGAGCTGTGCGTCACGACCAATTGACTGTACTGGTTATTGAGGGCTTTTATACACTTCATTTGCTCAATTAATGGTTCCTTCACTGCAGGAGTGAAGACACTTCTGATATCGTGACTTAAGGTCCCTTAACAGATTTATATGCACGTCACTGTCATGTCACAATCTTTCTCTCATCTTTACACTTGACGAAAGGTTTCGATGTTCACTGTGAGGAAGGCGGGTCAGTGTAAGGCCATTTTTTATTATCATCCGAAAGTAATTATAACTTAGCATAACAAAAAAGTATTGGATCAATTAGACTAATTGATTTGGAATGAGACAGACAAAGCGAATCTCAGTTTTTCCAGAATTTCGGGAAAAAATGTTCACTTTTCGTATATACATTACTTAACAAGATTATCAGTATGACTTTAATAGCGTATAAACTGCAACGGACTTTGAATTCCCTGTTTGTTGACCGGAAATTTATGAAATGACATGGTTCCTTGCGTAATCGCATGTAATCGTATTGTGGAAGTTGTTTGTGTTTTTAATTTTGCTGGCAAGGACGAGTTATAGCATTTAAAGATAAGAGTTGGTTTGTTCATTAAATGAACACCTACCTCAACACGTTTACTACCTGCTGTTATTAAGAACCATCTAATGATGATAATAATAATTTAATAGCTTATACATAGCGCATTCTTCATGTCTGAATAAGTACAAATACAGCAAATAATTAAACATTTTAAATGAAAATAATTATGAAACAGAAAAAAATTGATAAAATATATCTATAATACATCATAGTTAATAGAGGGAATGAATACATGAATACATGTACTGATAGTTAGTCTGTTAAACAATTTCTATAATCTTACTATGATGGATGTTTTATCGGCTGTGATCTATTTTTAGCACCGCTTCGGCTCAGCAGGGTTACCTACTCTAATACCGCCATCGCAGTCAAAATATTCCTTTCCGTGGAACTCCTTTTTTTATGATCGATTGTTGAATGACATACCGAAATTCCATCTAGTTCTCTCTGCAAAGTTTTACCAGAAGTGCACAAGGCCACTTCTAATTTAACTTATTATAGTTTATTGGAGGTAATCAGTTTTTAAAATATGTTACCGCACGATATCGATAATTTCGTGTTCTGTGTTCATTCGGCAGTAGAATTCACGTCTCACCGAACTACTGCGGCCATGTTCGACAAGATGACTGCGGTCTACTTTGTTGTTCGCAATGTATCAAATTGTATACATCTGTTGAATTAGTTAAGAAAGAATAAACCATGACAAACCACTATAGTAATTTGAAGATGATAACCCTATAAGTAAGGTTATTCTTGTCTCTATTTTAGTTCCAAGACTGGAGTACTAACAAGCTGTTATGATATCGCTGCATTAATGTTAACCCCTTTTGTCAGCTACATGGGTGCAAAACGAAAAAAGCCTAAATGGTGTGGAATAGGGCTGTTTTTAATGGGCGTTGGCTTCTTCATTTTCATCTTGCCCCATTTGTTTTCACCAAAATATCTCGCAAGTAAGTAAGTTGTAACGACTGATTTACCTTAAGTTCTTATTCTCGACGTCATAACTATGACAAGCTGTATAGTTATATAGTAAACAGCAGAAGGCGACAATTACAGGAGCGACGATATACGAATTGAAAAGGGAAATTGAAGAGCAATCACAAAATTGAGAGTTAAACGTGGTTTGAAGATGCGGATTCACTTTCATCATTTCCATTTCCTCACCCTACGAAATCATCGATTATAACCTGCATGCACAACGATCTAGACTAGTGTCGCGCCGTCTGAAATGCTACCTTGACCGCCCTTGTCCCAGAGGTTTCTAATCTCTCTAGGCCACGACGGTTAGAAAATTCGTCGACATAGAGGTGAAAGTTGAAAACTCTGGAGCCACTTGTATAACAATTGTTGAGTTTAAAACAATGCGAACCTTAATAAACTACAGTAAAAACCCACGTATATAAGAACACCTATTCTGGCGTTTCAGGCTAGTGATTTGATTCTTATATAAAGGGTTTATAATCTACAAAATCAGTCTCTAAGTGTTCTTAAAAAAATTTTCTTAAAATAAGGAACATACTTGGCTACCCGGCAATAGATGAAATCAATATATATGCACACAATTTTAGGTAGTCAATACAATTATCATGTAACTATTTTAATTAAAAATTGATAAAGCAATGTGTGCAATGAAAAGTAGTGTTGATCTTTGATATGTTTCCATATAAGAACAGCTTTCATTTTTCAGGCTGAATGTGTTCTTATATAAATGTTACTTTATTTCCTAAAATCAGACTGGTATTTGTATTGTATTTTGAACAAATAAGCAAGTCAGCAAGTCATCTCTTACCAGAACCATATGTTCAACGTGTTGTATCAAATCTTTATTGATGTAGTGGATCAATTGATGCTGTTATACAATTTATATTATTAATGGCGAGAAAATATAGCTAACTCGAGGTTTTGAGTAGGTTTAGGGTGCATGGTTGAAAATAAGCTGGCACCATAAACAGCTTTATTTTCTTTTTTTAGAAGGCCATTCACAGGAAGTGCCTTCAACATGCCACACCAACGTGACTTACTCAGTGAATCAGTGTGACCAATCGCAGACTCACTGGGGTTACTACCTATTGTTTATAGTGGGAATGTTAGTCATAGGAGCCGGGTCAACGCCGATGTGGAATCTAGGAACAGCTTATATGGACGAGAATGTCAAGGCCAAGGCAGCTCCTATTTACATCGGGATATTTTCTTGCTCAGGAGTTATGGGTGAGTGTCGAGACTACTCAGATTATGTGTTGTTATGAAGCTAACAAACGTTCACATCACAATAATGGTCGCAAACACAAAATAGGTCTATTCTCTGCACCCACCAGCCGGAGCCGCCCCTGAATCAGCAAGTATTGATTTTCAGCATGTTCCACACAATTTATGCTATCTGGCGGAAACTATCAGTTTGCATAAGAGGAGTTTAATTTCTAATAGTGAAAAGAATGTAGTGTGGTTAATGATTGAGTCAAGTGGGGTGAAGAGGTTTGTAGACAGCCTTCTCGTCTACTTGTAATCTCGTCATTGTATTCCTGAAATCGTTTTTAAAGTTCAAAGCATTACAAGAGATTACAAGGGTGTGGAGGAAAACTGAAAACTCATTTTGTGAAGCATCTAACTGATGATGTGAATGTGTTGTGATGATGCGGTTATTTACTGTGCATTTGCCCACAACCATCGCATGCAACCTGCGTAAGTCACCCTTACAACATAGCTACAACTGTCGTGGGATTTGAGACAATTGCTACAACATTTGTAGCTATGTTGTAAGGACGACTTACGTAGGTTGCATGCGATGGTTGTAGGCGAAAGTCTAAATCGACCTTTATGAAGTTGAGCTCGTGTGGACAATGGGAAGACAATGCCGCGAAACATGAATACTTGTTTATAATATAGAAGCTGTCAGTTTTTTCTTCAAGAAGAATTAGTGACATTGCTTAAGAATACTCTGTTTATTGTGATTACTTTTCGAAAGGTGCTGGAGTTGGATTCATACTGGGAGGTCTCTTCCTATCTATATACGTCGATCTTGGGGCTCAAACCAAACTGACACCACAAAACGAGGAGTGGATAGGGGCCTGGTGGCTGGGTTTCTTGGTTTCCATGGTGATGGCAATGCTATGGAGTGTGTTCTTGATTGGCTTTCCAAAAGAATTTCCTGGCACAAAAAAACTGAGAAAATTAAATCTTATTGGTAACAGCGATCATGTAAGTTATGTAGGGGTATAAGTACTTTTATGAAGATCATGCACTTCAATCAATGCTAATGTCTTTCTGATGTCATGTGCTCTTAAAAAATGAATATGTACTTATTGACTGAGTGGGAGGGCCGTACGGGAAAATATTTGGCTCGAGGTTATGCGCGAGGTCCGTACAAATGACCGAGAGCCAAATATTTTCCCGTACGGCCCGACCTAACTCAGTCAATAAGCATTTTATCATATGACAACGTTTTTTAATGTAAAAAAAAATAAAAGCGCGCGGAACTTCAAGCCGGGAAAATACGGGTTTGTAAGGACCTGTCGCAAAAAGGCGTACGGACCCCATCATGTGACTATTTTCCAAAGGTTTCAGTGAGAGCGCGCGTAGGGCCGAAATACGGGTCATATGATAACAAAGGCTTTCTACACGTCGCTTTTTATCAAATAGTTCCAATTCTTCCATCCTACATTTTCCAAGTATGCCCCTTTTTAGTATGTATCCTATTGTGATTCCAACAAGTAAACTGTTAGACCTGCCGCATCCACTGCTTAGAAAGCTTGACTTCATTAATGATAAACCCCTTTTCATTGCAGCCGACCGTTCATGACTTTGGATATGTCCAGTTAAAAGACCTCCCTAAAGCATCAAAAGCGTTATTTACCAATATACCTTATATGTCAACGACATTAGGTGTTTGTATCGAAGGGTTTATTGTGTCATCATTGACAGCGTTCATGCCAAAGGTTATAGAACAGCAGTTTAGTTATACGGCTTCTATGGTTAGTTTAGTCCTGGGTGTGGTCGTTGTGCCTGGTGCACTGCTTGGTAACTTTGTAGGTATGAACTTAGTACTCATCTATTTGCCATCAATTTTGTCAATGAATCAATTCTTTTGTTTTAGGTGCGTATATCTGTAAACGATTAAGTCTTTGTCAACGCGGTGCGTCCAAAATGTGTTTTATGGTTAGTGCGTTAAGCATTCTCGGTGTATGTTTACTCTTTATCAACTGCGATAGTCTACCTATAGTTGGTGTCAACATACCGTATGCAAACAGGTATGATAACGGCCCTGGAATATTGATGATGATGATATGTAAGATGATGATGTTGTTACTTATTATGTATCAGTGTGGTAATAATGAACGGCGACATATAGTGGCATGCAAAGATGCGAAGAACAAATACAGTCTCTGTACAGAATGAATTGACTTTTCATACTTGAAGACAAGGGAGTTCAGATTATACAGGGGTACAACTAAACTTAAAGATAATTTTTGCGATAATTTTAGTTCTTCATATGGGCTGAAGTCAAGTTGTAATAATGGTTGCACATGTCCTGATACAAATTACAAGCCTGTATGTGCAGAAAGTATCACATATTACTCGCCATGTCACGCAGGATGCAAGACCGACTTCAAAAATGGGGTGAGGATAATCTAGTTTAGGCATTAACTTTTTACTTTATAGAACTGCGCGTGCTGTTAACGCGAGGCCGTTCACGTTTCTGGACAAACTTCCAGTGTTATTTTTGAGTCCGTCGCTCTTTTATAAGTGTACCGGACAGAGAAGTTTTTTTTGTGATGGCCCTAAAATTGAACACTGTGGTAACTAGAACTGGTGGAGACACATTCGCAGGTCTGTATGTGTAATCGCGCGCCTAAACCAGAAACCTATAAGGGACTTGAAGCGTGCAGCGCTGTGCTATCCGTTGGAATTTTGTAAAAAAATCTAATTTGCATCTAGCCTGCTCCCCGCTCGGCCGGCCCTCCCCAATCCCCTTAGGGCCGCTACGCAGGCTAATTTGCATCTCATTTCCTTACAATTCAATTTTACCCTAGCCAACCAGGGCCTTAAATCTCTTATTCATAGGCCAAATTTTTCAAATATGGTCATAACTTTTAATGAGCTTTGAATATTCCGACGCTTGGTACTAAAGAAATGTATGGGCGTTACACGTTTCAAATCCCTTATAGGTTTCTGCCTAATCTAATTGATCAACTCAAAAGGTGTTGGTTCAGTGTAAGCGGGGTCATATTTCAAAACATTTCGGCCTTTCCGCAGAATGTGCAGCCCGACAGCAGTTTACGTACCATTTTTTATATTTGTTTGATTAAAAGGAATAAGTAGATAAAGATATGGCTCTAATTTCGTATTAACTTAAAGAAGGTACATATTTTCCACGTCAGCATCTCTATGCAAAGTCATGCTACCAAGAGAGAGCGGACGAGATTATTTGAACATTTATGAAAAGTCTAGTATTATTAATTTTATTTTTCAAACGTTTTTGAACATCAAAACAGAACAAAAGAAATGTGCAAAGAGGAGAACGCGAACGGGAGGCCAATGCAAGGCGTTTCCCAATGCTCAGACAGGCGGAAAACTGACAAATAATGACAACAGCACTAAATGCATTATAAACAAAAGCACAGTGTACAATTAAGATCTATGACAGGCGTTGAACGGCATAGACACAGAAAGTCATGTTATAGGTACTGTTCACATCGGAATACATAGTTAGTAGGGAATATTTTAAAAACTAGCCGGTCAGATGATATAGGTGGGGAAAATGTAATCAGGATTTTACTATCTCTTAACTAATACCATGAATTATGTTTACAGTCGTTTGGTAATTGCTCGTGCATTCAGTCTAATGACCTGGTAACCAGTGGGTTCTGCTCATCTGACTGTGGATTTAAACCATATATTTACATCACGGTTTACTTTCTGACGGTCTTATTAACTTTTCTAAGTGCAACACCTGCTACAGTGGTCACTTTAAGGTAAATTACATTAATCACTGAATTGTTATCAATTGCTGCTTTTCCTTTAATTCCTATTCTTTTTCCATCTGATTTTGCCTTGCTCTCGTGCAGATGTGTTGGCCATGAACAAAGAGCCTATGCTTTAGGCATTCAGTCAAGCCTGATGAGACTTTTGGGAACTATACCTGGCCCAGTTGTTGTAGGATCGCTAATTGATATGACTTGTACGCTTTGGAAGAAAGGGTATGTGTTTCCTAATGTTCCTCATTTCTATTTCAGTACTGATTTATGTGTTTCAGTTTGCTTTTATTGTTAAATATGAAATGAAAATCGATCTCAGTAACATAGATGTGCACATGGTCCAGCTCAAATACGGACTGAAATGGGTCTAGATCAGTGGTGAACGAGCGAAAATTTACTAAATACTGTTGTAGTGAATATGTCTCAGTATAACGATCTTATTGTATGTTCTCCGTCGAAACAGAACAGTAGACTGATCTAGAAGTAGTCTGTCCAGAGATCTGTAGTTCATACATGTAAGAAAACCTGTAAATAATAGTGTAGACTATTTATGTGTTTCTATTGTTTTTAGCTGTGATGATGTTGCAAACTGTCTGCAGTACGATAACAGGAACTTAGCAATGGTTGTGTTAATAACAGCTCTGATAACAAAAGTTTTAACAACATCATGTTATGGTATATCTCACTGGTTCAGTCCTAAAGAATCCAAAGACGATAGAAATGGAATTGTAAATGGTAACGTACAGTATAACTCAAAACAAGTGTACGACGAAGAGAAAGACAAATATAAAGATAAAGATGTTGATAATAACGTTAACCAACAGATTCAACGTAAGCTTGTACATGAATATATCGATAGGGAGACTAAGTTATAATCACTTCATGAGGAAGCTGTATCACAACAACATACCTCCATGTACCATGGACGGTGAGCAAGAAAAATAAAAGAGCACCGAACTGCAAGCTCAAGACGCATGGAAATAATATGATGGTACATGTACCTTGAACACAATATGTTGGAGTCTCTTGATCCTGTGAAAATAAATCATGATGCAGTACAGAAGAGGGAGGGCTACAACAAAATGAATGAAATACCGAATATATTTTTATTCCTTGGAATATAAATAATATATTCATATTCCTTGGGATATAAATATATTCGGCATTCATTTTGTTTTACCTAAAACTATCAGCCTGTCTTAGATTTTAGGGAGGGTTACTTCCTGGCATTTCTGACTTATAATCTTCAAAGGACTGATTGGGTGTCCGAAACCAAAACACTTTATACACCTATTCATCAACTTGTAAACTATCTAAAATATCTCATTCAAATTCGTATATATTCATCCTATCATGTCTTAAAGACTTATTTATATTGGTCAAAGTATGACAATGTATAACTGCACATATAACTAAAAAACACAAACCGCACGAAAAACAAGGCTGGCCTTAGCTTCTTATCGCTCACTTTGCCTCGTGTCGGTTTTTCCAATTCATTTGTTGTTCTTATACATTCATTTTGAAAGAACATATACAATTTGTAAATTAAAGTCATACAAAATAACATTTGTTATTTGTCCTAACTATGGTTGTAGCTGAATATGAAGAATCGCGCCTACTTCAATCGCGTTGGTTGTTCCGATCGCAGTTCGAGTTCTAACAAACATCAACAGAAAGAGAGCTGCTGGCTCTTGGTAACTAGTTGGTAGCATACATAATGGTCAATATCACTGTCAGTTATTTACTGCTGTTATCGCAACGACCTGGAAAATCGGACATGTTAATTAAGTCGAAACGCTTGTATTCTTGCATTATTGTAGTCTGTCACGAATGCTGACCCATCACTCGCTAGAGCAATATCCTGTGGCCGATCAAATTGTCCAAGTTGTGCCCCATACGATCCAAACAATGAAACTCTTCCGTCCTCTGAAAATACCTGGACACGATGGTTCCCAGTGTCACAGACAAACAGACGTTCGTAAGCATCCACAGCAACTCCACGTGGATCTTTAAAACGACCTTCGCCATGTCCTTTGTTCCCAATCTTATAGAGGTATTTGCCTTCAATGTCAAAAACTTGGACTGAATGATTATCAAACGTCACGAAAAGCTTGTCTTTGTGATGAGCGATGAAATATGGTGCTACTGCTTTACCGGACGGGTGGACATCAGGACTTTTGAATTCACCTTCAAACGATCCCTTAAATGAGAATCTTTTAACACTCCGTGATACTGAATCGCATATGAATGAAGACCCGTCTGGCATACGACATATGCCTAATGGCCTCTGAAGGTGCCTGGACCCAAATGTGCGCGTACAATTACCCAAAGGATCAAACACTTTTACCACGTGATCGTCACAGTCCGTAACAAATATGTTATCATCCTGATCGAACGTAGTACCGACTGGGTTAGACAAATGCACGTTTCTGTCGTGCCCCAATCTCCTAAGGACTTTGCCTTCAATGCCAAGCACATGTATTGTTGCATTCTTTGAGTCTGCAACTGCAAATACGTCGCAGCTTCCATTGGACGATATCCCACATGGTCGGCCAAAATGTCGTTTGTTTAAACCAAAGACCGAGACAGCAGACATTACTGGACTGACAAGTCCTTGATCAGAACCAATCGACCGAGGAATTTCGCTTAGTAAACTTTCACGTTGATAGTCCCTGTTGGACATAACATTGATTTGGTAAGGACTTCCCCGGATTTCTGTACCCATTACTAAAACGTGCACCATTAAAACATCAGTTTTCAGGGGAGTCTGAAAGTAAATTTTGTAATTTCCATCTTCCGAGTTGTCAATTCGGGGATGAATCGTATAGCCTTCCTCTGACTGAATTGAAACCGACAGTCTATCATCTTCGGAATAACATATATCGCCTTCGGAATCTCTCGTTACAACTGTGAAGATCTGTCTTTCGCCAGTAGCTGTTACTGAGAGGTTTTCGTTTAATATTTCCGAAGTGGTTGGGTCAGTGAAACTGATCTTGATCCTACCAATATCTGTATTCTCTAAATCCCTCAAGACGCTAGCATTATGCGCGTAGTCAAACGTAATAGATTTATGCTTGTTTTTTTCAACAGGAATACTCATCAATTCATTAAGTCTTTGAAGCAATGAATTATGAAGATTAAGCATCTCAATGTCAATCCCTCGATCCACTATCTCTTTCGCGACGTCCCTAGTCTTCACCATTTGGAGTAATAAGATTTCGTAACCTTTTTTATTTGAAAAGATGTTTTGTCTCAGATCTAACTGAATCTGTTCGAGTTGGCTGACCATATTCTTCTCGTGAGTTCTAAGTACATTAACAAGTGCGGTCACTTTGTCACGAACGGTTTTTCTGACTTCGACAATTTTTTCAACGGCACTATTGTAACTTGACTCCATTTTCTCAAGTACAAACTGACAAGAGGAAATTTTCAAATTTAGTCCATCGATAAATTCATTGATTTGTTCGTCTGTTTGTACCTTTGCATCTTGTATTTTGTGGACCCTATGATGCTGGTGGTCTGTTGTCTGGCACTTCTCGCATATACATTCTCCACAGTCGACACAATAGAATTCCAGAGGTTCAGTCTGATGGGATTTGCGCTTGCAATTTCTCATTTCCTTTACAAGTTCCCTCATGTCTTGCGAATGGATGTCTTCAAGTTCCATTATACGATGAGAACGCATCGTCCTCATGTGCTCATGGATTTGTATACATTCAGAACAAACAAAGCACTTACAGTCGAAACAGAACGATGTTGCTGAAGCATTACTGTCACAACTACTACAAGAAAACTTCACGTTGTCCTCTTCACATCCGAGTAGTTTTTGTAAAGAGGTGATGAAGAATGGTGATGGTAGTGCTTGCAACGCTACGTTATCGACAATGTTGACTCCATATTTACATAAAGGGCAATGAACCCGCTCGAACAGCTTCGTTTTTCTCTGGAGCTCCTTGACGCACGCGAAGCAGAAACTGTGTAAACAGGGCAGCATTTTGGGATTTCTGTAAATTCCTTGACATAAAGCACATGTTAGTTTATTCTTGACGCTAACAGCAAGCGTTGAATTAGCCATATTTCAGTCGTGTCGAGGAACATAAACGGTTGGTCGAATGACAGCCCAATCTGACACTCCTACTATTTATAGTCAATAACTTTTTGTCAAAATGGCAGTCAAGCGTTCTGCGGCTTTGAAAGCTTTTAAAAAGGCTATTGTCTTTTATTCCCGCACTTTCTATGAAAACAAAAATTAAACGTGAGAATTTTACATAATCCAAATTGTCCACTGATTCATTACAAATGAGTGTCAGACCTAAGGGAAGGTACGTTAATTTATTATTGGAGGGGGAGGGCTGGAGTGGGAGAGGGGAGTGTCATATATCAATTTTGCAACCTTTAGGGGAGGGTCACATCTTCACTCGAAAGGTTATCTAGGGGAGGGTCATCCTAGTTTTTAAGCTTTAACACATATATACCTGTGGTCTACTGATCTTTGCACCAGGATCACCATAGTTAAGAAAAAATGGTATACCATCAAGTCCATGGACCGACATTGGGTTGCCGCGCTTACGCACGTTCCCTTCTCATACGTACTCCCGTACTTCTTTGCGTCCTTCTGCCGCCAAAGGAAACCCATACTCCGAGCAAAAAATAAACAGAAATATTTGTTGAAACGTCGAAATTTTGGCTTCACAAACATTAATCTTCGAAATTGGTAATATTAGAAAACAAATCACATAACAAAAATTATCCACGGGAGAGCGAAATCAAAGCACAGAGATTTGCGTTTGCACATCCGGGAAATCGATTTGTGAAAGATAAAAAGCTATTTATTTTGAGAGTCACTTTTTTAAAAAAAAGGAAAACAGGATGACTTGTCGATTTGATCTGTTTCGACAACAAGAAAAAAATGTTGTAGTCTATTGGAAACGCTGCAAAAATATTGGGAAAGTCAGCACCGATCGGCTGTGTGAACTCTTTTTTCACCAAATCTTTACATTGGCTTTGCACATCCGATTAGTGTAAATAATGGCATGCTTTCTATAAACTTTGAAAGCCTGAGATTTGTCCGTTGTGAGTGTGTGGTGGGGGAAGGTCACCCGTACTTTTGGTACTTTTGAGGGGAGGGTCACACATTTTTTTTTTGAAAAATTACTCTGAAAACTCTAGCCCTCCCCTCCCCTCCCCCAGGAATAAACGGTACCTTCCCTAACCTGCCTTGTGCACTGAATTAAGAGTGAGAACGGTCTGCGGCCGTTCGTTAGGGATATACGGCATTCCGAAAGTGGTTTAATATTTCTCAAAAATTACCTTAGAGTGACGACAGCGACTGTTTTGAGAAATAGTTGGGCAGCCGGATCGTGGAAATAGTCAACTACCCAATCATAAACGAGTATTTTATGGCGGGAAATTGTCACGAACAGGGTGAATCAATGGCTGAATCAAACCGTTATTTTGCCTTTCCTTTCCACACTAAAATACAAATGCAAGAAACAGGTAACCATGGTTTCGTGGGGTTCATTTCCATGCATGGACTATTACTTTCTTTTATAATTTTCTTTGGAGGTCTCTCTAGTCTCTAGGGAAAAGCAAGCTTATGCATACCTTATCGATTGCATACAAAAGAAAAGATGCTTGAAGTGCACATGACACCATTAGAAATTCATTCTCATCCAATAGAGAAAATGCTGCTAAGTACATCTGTGAAGAAAGAAATTGATTTAAAATTGTATTTTCTAAGTTATGGGCAATTGAAACTTAGAAAATGCAAATTAAGTGACGTCTACTAAAGGAATGATTTAATATAACTTACAAAATCATGAAAGAGGACGTTATTCTTTTTGTTACATTGAAAAAAGCATTTTCAGCTCTCACTTATTACTATGATTGATGATTTGAGCTCTTAAACCAAGAACAACTTATCACAAACAATGTAAGACGTCACTTCATTTGCATCTTCAATTTTCAAATGTCTTTGGCAGCGTGTTACCTTTCGGATAAAAGTGATTTCCTAAAAGGTGTCATGTGCACTTTCTTAACATAACAGTTAAAGCTTACTTCTTTGATAGTTTTTCTGCAATATCACAGCTCCCAGAGTGGAGTTTTAAATCTCTTTTTTTCTTTCAGCGACACACCCAGAGGAAGTTCCACTTCAAGAAATTGTTTTTAAAAACATTCAAAATTTTACTCGTGAAGATTTTGACCAGGCTAAGAAAGACCTTGAAAGCTCAAAAGGTGGTGAAGTAAAGGGATTCAAGTATACGTACTTTTCAAGCTACAGTCCTGAGAAAAATTGCAAATATGAACAAGCAAAGCAACAAAAAGCTCAAAATGTATGATTTATACCAAAGTGTTTCTAAGACTATTTATAACAATTAGATCTCGAGGGRTTAGGGACTACGAGCTGATTCGTCCGAATGGGCTATCAGCTCGTAGTCCACACGAGGCCGAGAGATCTAATTGTTTTAGTATTACCATACTAGTTGGACAAAAATGAATGAAATATATAAATAACCAAATGTTTTTATTGCTAAAAATACTACGCAAAAAGTTGTTGCTTTTCGCTCGTCGAGGACTATTGACCACGAGTAGCGTAGCCAATCAGAACAAAGGATTTGCAAAAGATACTAAACCCTAACCCTGAATAATAAGGTAAGCTTACTTAACTCGAGCATTTTTGTAGGGCCAACAAATTTTACAAAACAAAAGTAAAGAGGAAAAAGAAGCAATACGTGCACCGGCCTTTTTACCAGTCAATTTCAACGAGTCTACAGATGAGTTGAAACACGGTCCATCTACTACTAAATTTAAGCTTACTGATGAAGAACGACACGACACATGTTCAGTTCAAAAAAAATCTGAAGCCGTCCGAAGTCCAACCCAAAAAAACGTAAGGCTTTAAAAATTAGTCTGTTAAAATTTTAGTATTTCGGTGAAAAAAAGTTAGGAAATGACATTATTGCTTATACAATGTTTGTTTGAAGTCGGAAAATTAATTAATTAAGCTTGCATTAAAAGCAAAAAGTTGCTTGCTTTAATTAATAAGCTTGAGACAGAAAAAACTCAAACTAGTTTCATATGAATCCGGTCTAACTTTGTATGTCTTGTATGCGGTGGGAACTAGCGGTAAACTAGTGTGAGCTGCGTCGATGTTTCTAAAGAAACAGTTGTGTAAAAAGATAAATTAAACACCGTAAAAAAGTAGGTGAAAGTTATTTTTATCTTTTCATACAACTGTGTTTTGTATTCGGCCAATTCTTTGGATAATAACTCGACAAGTATCTCGTCAGTGACGGAATTCTGTCCTTAGATTCAAAATAAGAATACCAATGAGAATTTTTCTAAAGAAATAGTGGTCCACGATTGTCAAAATGACTGTTTCCAGTTATAATACAATCTTACTGTCTACAATTTATCATTTGTATGTTTTAGCTCAAGCCAATTAGTCTCAAAAGACTACCAACAAATGAGGAAGATGTAGCAGATGAGGACGCAAGTTATTTGATAAGTCGTTACAGATAGAACGACCTCTCAGTAGTAAACATGAATTACTACGATCTTCAAAAAGTCAGTTTATAGACATTCAGCATAAGCACGTCTAGTAGTTCCCAGTATTTCAATTAACATTCTACACATTGAAGTACTTTTACGTAAGTTTATATTGAAAATAGAAAAAAGCTGATGTACTTGTACTATTTCCTATTGATTTTATCTAACTATGATTTTATCAACAGAACATGCATTTGGATAGCATTTTATCAGCAACTTTACAAATTGGTTTATTAAAACTCTTTACGAGTCACTCAATAGATGATGTCATCATTTCATCAACATCCATTGACATTAATTGCATATCATCTACTTCCTCAAAAGTTTCATCATTTTCAGATTTTAGTCCCGATTCCTTTTTAACAGCAATTCTTGCTACTTGCTTGGCTTTGTGTTGTGAACTGGATGAATCACCAGTGAGAAGTTTTCGACTCTCTTCATAATACTGGTTAGGATGATTAAATCCAGGTTGATTTTCAGTTGAGTGTGTTAATTCAAAGTATCGTGTACAAGCCAGTTGGTAGTGATTCTCTTTCACTAGGGACATAACCTAAAAATGTAAATATTCAGGATACGATCAAACTGGTTATGAAAGTGTGTATTTTTATTTCACTAGCCCACAGAGAATAAGCAATTAGCTACCTCAGAGCCAAACCCCAGCCAAACCCTAGGGTTGTCACAGCAGGGTCTGTTATGTTCTGAGTAATTTCCCTTATATGTAGTACAGAGAGAAATTTCAAGTGACAGGGCCTATATGATGACCTATTGACTAAACCATTTGTAGGTGGAGAAATCTCATATTATTTCAATGCCCTAAGTCACTGTTGGTCCTACAGTAACGAAACCCTGACATTCCACTGTAGGCCAGGGCTCTTACAATTGAGGCAACTGATAAGTGATTGATTCTGGAGTGGAGTGATATCTGTAGAACCAGTATTAGCCATTCCGGAGTTATGAAATGAATTGTAATTTCTGTCATATTGAAAACTAACCATATCACTAAAAAGACTTTATCAACTTTAGTGTAGGTTCCAAGTTACAGATCATTTGGACAAATATTCAATTAATGAGAAGCCGTGCAATTTACAGAGAATGAATGGGGATTTTGACCACGTCCCCCAAAACAATACATTCTCTGTTAATTTGATAAAACTAGGAATAAAAACTGTTCAGCTAGTTTTTATCCAAACGTTTTGAGACTTGGCATATTTACTAATTTTTGAGTGCCCTTTCATGGGGTGGGGTTTGTTTCATGATTACATCAATATTTCTTTGATTAGTGCCCAGTCCCCTGCGCAACTCCGGAATGCCTAATTGATGCCTCTCTACAAAACAGATGTTAACAGTTTAGTTAGTTAGTTAGGCGGATGACTCCGAGATAAAGAAGAAAGATGTTAACAACCAACAAAATAAACTTAAGAAAGGTGTTCTGGTGTCTTTAATATAAAAGAAGGTAATAATATATTGTATTGATTACAGGAATCCAGAAGTGTGAACACAAAATAATAGAGCCCAAATTATTTATGTGATAAATGGCTAATTATTGCAAAATACAAGAAGTTATACTTGAACTTGATGTTGAACAACTAACCTCCTCTAACCCCTCTTTGCCCAGCTGATGGCTGGAAAGCCTTTGTTTCAATAGCTCAGGATCTGTATGTCTATAAGGACATCCTATTAAAAAATCATGTGAATAAATCTGAAACTAATCACAAATATGAGTTAATCTAGTGTTTACCATGACAGTCACCAGGCCCAGGCTGATTGGACATTATGATCTTCATACAACTGAAGGGGGTGTAGTCTGCACGTTTTCCTTCTTTGCCATAATTATGACGAATGTTATACGCGTACTGCTTGTCAAACTAGGCAGAAAACAAATTCACATGCCAATACCAAAGGAAAATTATAATTAATCTTTAAGGTTGAGCTTCAATATTACCTTATCAAGTTCCATAATTTTTCCAAATTCTGACCTCCAAAATATGAGAGATTCTTCCAGTGTAATTCCAATTCCCTGGTAAATATAATTGTATAGGCTAACGTCACGATCCCGTGTCTTGTGGGATACAAACTGGTCTGTGACAAGGTAAATCATGTGACAAATCTGATTTTGCTCCTATTTTATTACAAATTTATTTACAATAACGATATGCACATCAGAACTATCATGATTTTGAGTGTCAAATCTTCATTGTATGATGGGAAAATGAAGATTAACCATTTTACTCACTATGGACTGATGTGTCTACCCCTCCCTAGCSCTTTCTATACACAAAGACTTGAGACCTTTCGGAAATAGTCGACATTAGTTTTCTGAAGTGAAAATAAAAGTCAAAGATAAAGCTTAGATATTTAATTTTCTTCAATGAAAGGGAAAGAAAACAAGCATGCAAAAAGCAATTGAAGCAAAACAAAGCAAAACGTTTTAGAAAAAATGAAACTAGGTTTCAAGGTCTTTGAGGTTCAAAAACAGTGTCTTGTTCTATCCTTCTAGTTTTAAAATATTGGCATAGAGCTTTTGCAAATAGTATGAGCATAGTGAAAACAATGCTTCAAGGAACAAGCAAATGATCAACTATGTCTTATGGCAGAAAATGTGTTTTCAACACTGTTTTTTGTTTATGAAAGGTCTCTATGCTTCTAAGAATAAAAACACTGGGGAGGGGTAAACATGGTGCAAACATCGGTCAATCACAATTGACCAGTGTTTCATACCTTTTTTTTTTTTTTTTTTTTTTTTATACCTTGTCACAGACAAGTTAAATCCAGTCCCAGCCCCTTTTCGACCTGCTCGGTTAACGGTCCCCTCGAGGGGAAAAGTCCGCAAAGTATAGGATAATAGGTAATCCACATTTTACTAAGAGTGTGCATGCACCTATAATAAAAGCGTGCACTTCTTTTTGTACATTAAAACTGAGTGTAAATATGAAAATAACAATTCAAAAATATAAGAATAAATAAATCCTCTCAAACAATAGTTGGGCAGCCTATGCACTGGATCTGCCCTTGTCACTACTATGGCCACCAGAGGATATCACAAATGATTGATCTCTAAAATCCACTAAACTTAAGTACATTACCTTTAAAAACAATCCATACTGCATACGACCACCATGTTTCAAGTGATGTGCTTCTCTTAAGGATTGATGTAGGTTACGCATGCACAGAGGAAATGATTTACGAGCAACCTAATTGAAAATGTATTAAATCACTAGACATTCCCTTAAAAAGTAAGTAAACATAACCATTAAGTAAACTACCATGTCAATTTGATCCAGTGTAATCTTGCCACCTGCAATGGACTTCTTTGTGCCATAATCTTGACCCACATACTGGCGGCTAATGAAATACAATTTATAGTAATATCAAAAATTTTTATAGTTTACATCAATTTATGCAGCACCCACATCAATAGAATCGAGCTGCTCTAGGGTTACATGTATGACATTTTTTAGCTATGACACTAGTACCAATTCTCCTATTCATCAACTAGGTTGGAAAAAAATAATATTCAATATAAGTTTCAAAAAGTTGTTATGGTACATAAATCCATTCATGATCTTACTCTACTGAGAAACACAGAGGGAATACTTGCTGTTCCAAAGCTCTGCACAAATTAGCCTGTCCTAATTAGCCCGTGTACATCCATTTCTCCCCGACCCTCACAAAAAATTGTTAAGTGTGAGAAACAGATGTACACAGGCTAGCCCTAATCTTTTCTCTTATATTCTCTTATAGAATTCTTTATCAATTCTTTAATATGTTTATATATTAGTAGTCAAAAAATGTAGATGTTATTGAAAGTCAACCAAGTATTTATAAAAGTATTATCTTATCATCTAACAGTATTTTACATGAATGCAATTTCTTTATTCAATCATGACATCCAACTGGACAGCCTTCAGCACCTGCCACCATAACGACTTGTATTCTGCCATAACCTCCCTAAATTAATCATCACAACGACCTTTGATCTGCAACTGTTAGAGTATTGATGCACTGACTAAAACAGGCTTTTTTTTTCTTTTAAAAAACTTCCAGGGCTTTTACTTTTGATGCACAAAAAAACTGATTTTCAAGGAATGCTTTTTAAGATTTTGATGTTTTTTCTTTGGATAACTCTAGCACCTTTTTTCAATGAATACAAAATTCAAGGAGTATGCAGATGTTTTTCCCTATTTTAAAGGGTTTTTCAATTGCCCTTGAAAACATTTCAAGAAGTAGCACAAACACTTTATTTTAATTAAAATACTATTTTTGGATCAGTCCCTGGTAGGGACATTAATTATTACACAAAAAAATGAATTGCAAAACCATGAGCTCCCTTGATTACAGTACCTTAAATTATTCAGCCTTGGCAACAGTCTCTCATCCTCTTCAAGATATGGAAGTGCTCTAGCGGTAAGCTTGAATTAAATCACAATAAATTAAAATTGAAAGCAAGATTTGTTAATCACTGGAATAATTACAGCAGCTATAGATGTGAGCAGTGAAAAATATGTGTAGGCTAATACAATCCTGGACAATATGACAATAAGGGTCAATCAGAGTTGAGAGTTGCCAAATTCTCTTTATTTTCCCTTCACTTTTTATAGAACACACACCAGTTGCATGAAGTGTGCATAAAATTCGCCACTGGTTAAAGGTATCTTCCTTAGATTTTGTACGGGATTTTAACTGCTGGATAAGGATTTATGGTGGATAGCCCTATTCACCCACAACTAGCCCCTTCTAGATGCTGTTTGGGCACTAACTTGGGGTGAGAGGGGTGGAGATCGAGCATTTTATATCAAACTGCAGTAAAAATGGTGCAATCTGTTATTCAAAACATTTTTGAACAAGATTGTAGCTCTCTGTCATACTCACTGATTGCTTTACAATATACTTACCGCTAATGCATGGGACAGGTGTGTACGGAAGACATTGGATATAATAGAAGACAGATCACCACGAGGAACATATGCATAACCCTATGGATCACAAATATTTACTCTTATAGTGTAATCCTGTTATTAATAATCTTTTATGAAAAAAGCTTTATCAATGACTTAGTATTTACTGACCCCTTCTAAATAAACCTTTCTTGACCGAACTAAATCAAGTGCTTCTATAAATGGAACCTATTGATCAAACACAAAAATATTGCATTAACAAGTTTGAAAGGGCTTGATTTGAAAAAGAAAATCAATCTGATTGTTGTAATTTACTTCAACAACAATAACAAAACTTTATTTGCACACTTCTGCATGTTGTCATTTGAAGATTTTTCTTTGAATTTTGGCCTCCTGTCCACATTGTTATATTGGGTATTTCAGGAGTAAAATACTAGTCGAAAAAAACAAAAAAAAAAACACAACAGACCAAAATGCGGTTCAACAAGTGATTTTACTCAAAATCGTGTGATTCTTACGTGACTAAAATTTACATAATACAACACAAAAAGGGAAAGAAAAAAGAATAGCTTAGAGGTAATCGAGTCGAGAATATAACCCGCGATCCTAAGTTTGAAGCTAATTGTTAAACGAATATCTACAGAAAAAAATTAGCAAAAAAATTGCTACGATAAAAATCTAACCAGAACACTTATATTTCAGTTAAAAAAAGAAAGAAAGAAAAAAAAAAAAGAATTTTTCAGAGGAATTTTTGCGAGGATCGAGGATCGGACCTTGGAACTCTGGATTATGGGTCCCTTGGGATTGCTAAACTGCGACGTGAAAAAATAAAATAAAATAAAGTCGCTGCATTTTATAACCGTGCCATAGGCCTTCGGCCTGGACATGGTAATAAATCTTCGTACTTAAGATTTGCAACCTCTGAAACATGTTGGCCCAATATGTTAAAACTTATTTTAAGTGTAGACAGATGAAAATGATTTGGAAAGATCAACTGCTTAATGTGTGTACAGACTTGCAACATTCATTATCAAAAGTACACTTTGTTATAAGTAGAACTGTTGGTTGTGAATGCAGCAAACAGATGTATCAAGGATATTACAAAATTCTTAGCTGCTTGACAGATAACCTTGTAATATTCATCAGCTTTAACTGATTGAACATTGAGATTGTAGCCTGCATCTCTCAACTGGCAACACTTCTCGCTTTTTTCCTCTTCACCAATCTTATAAGTAAAAAAAAACACATCAATACTAAATGCATTCAATCATGTATTTCAGTTGACTTCATATTTGTGCTCACTTTCTCTCATTTTTAAACTATACTTACATCACTATATGAGAGCTTATTGTTTTCAAGAAAAGTATCAACATCTTTTCTCTGCTCCTCAGAGAATCTTATCCTACATAGCACAYAAAAAAACAAAATATGAATAGGTCCACATTTGATTTTATCTTTGTAGCACCAAAAATATTACCTAAAAAGCTCAACTTCTTGACTCAAAAACCATCTTCTTAATTCCTCTCTATAGGTGAAAAGATAAATCAATAAAATTGTTATGAGAGATAATAATATCATCAATCTAAAAATATAATTATAATAAATTATTATAACAATTATAAAAAATCATTAATAAAAAATTAATAATATTACTTGTATGTTGCTCAAAGAAAGTTTATTTTTTGTGTTGGAAATCTTGACTATTTGTTTGGTGGTCTTTCATGCAAAGACAAAAATATGATCGCCATGTTAACCATGTATCCTCTATAATATTATATTTAAGTTCCACATTCAGTCATACAATTTGTAATTCAACTTACGATCTACAATAGGCAAGTCGAAGTATGAAATGTGAAATGTGATCCTTCCTTCTTTCATCATATTCTTGATTTGGATCATTGCTTCCTCCCTACATAAAGATTACATCAACAAAACCTGTTTCAATGAATATGTAGGGGTGTCTATAATATTCAAAACATTTCAATTAGTATTAGGTCTCATTTACTAGTAACCTTACTGTAATGCAAACGCTGAATTTATTTATATTTATCTGATAAGCATCAAACTTATAAAATGATCATCCATGCAAAGTCGAGTGGATTGTGAGTTGACAGTCCACGAGGTGGCAAGAGATTTGCTGCCCTGCTGTAAAAACTGTATATAAGAACCTGGGGATTACAAACCAAATAAAAACCAATATATAAAAACGAAATGAATTGTTTCCAACACCAGCTTCTGTCTGGTATTTCTCGTGAACATAGCTTTAAAGCTCAATGACAGTTTGAACACCTGGAACATTTTTCAAGGAAAATGTCTGATGGCAAGACTTGTTCAATGGGAAACAAATTAATAGTAATTATAGTAATAGTATATTAGTAGTATTTGTCGCCATTGAATTCAAACCGCATAGACAAATATATTTTGAATACAGTTGAACCTCTATTAAGCGGCCCTCTATTAAGCGGTCACCCTTTATTAGGTGGTCACCTATTAACTTCCCGAAATTTGACTCTAACATTTACTGTAAACTTGACCTCATTTAAATGGTCACCTCTATTAAGCGGACGCGGTTATCCTTTTGACTTTCCCAACTGCACAGTTTCATTGTTATTTGCCTTTATTAAACGGTCACCTCTTGTAATCAGGATTAAAATCAGCTGAGGGAACGTGAAAAATATTACGAAAACATGAAATGAAAAACGTCAGTTTATATTGTAATTCTGTAGTTGCATTAACTAGAATAGGTGTCGAATTCTACTGTACTCACTGTGTACAGTATATTTATTTTATAAACTAAAATTATCAACCTTGTATTTAGCGTTTATATTCCTTAAAACTACATTACTTGATGAGTTTTGAAATTTTTTACATTTTTTGTGACGTAAAAAGCTAAATTCTAGGCAACCTCTATTAAGAGGTCAACCTCTATTAAGTGGTCACTTGGTTTTTCTCAAGGGTGACCGCTCAATAGAGGTTCCACTGTAAATTAATTATGCAGGTAATTCCCAAGATTCTTTGCAGGCTCAAGACTGCAGTGAATAGGCTATTTATATACTTGATAAAGTATGTATTATTGAATGGCTGATTGTACAGCTATGAATTATGTGTTCTGAAATTGACATCCAAAAAGTAGTGTATTCAAAATAGAAGGCTACATGCTTCACTTTGAGGTATATCATTTTGTATTGTAATAAAGGCAACACATTTGGATAAGTTAATTATCTTTTCTTGGTGTTAAAATAAGAACCAGTCAAAAATTATTTGCGCACAAATCAAAGCAAAAATCAATCGCGTTAGGAAAGTTCCCCCTCAAATTTTCTCATAGTGCATGACTCCAACTATAAAGTGTAATGGAAAGTACAATCTTTCTGATTTTTACCTTTGAAACGTCGTAATTCTGTGGCAGAAAACTCTTCAGCAAATCATGACTCTTGTTTTGATATGCTTTATCGTCCTTTTTATATCTTATTGAATTGCTTTCGACTTCCCTTAAGACTATAACACAACAAAACCGTAAGCTGAATAGCACTTGCAACTTGAAACAGGACCGTGTTCTTGCACAAGACTTAATTGTTAATATTATTACATACCTTTGAGTCTCTCTATGGCCAGCTCTTCGAACTCCTCCAAAGAAATATTATCTGTTGGCGGTATTTTATACATTTGAAGACGGTCAGGATACTGGCCCCAAATACGACCATCTTTTAGCTGAACTGACTTTTTTTGTCTACTAAACTGCATTTCCTGGCCACTTATTCAATAAAATACTTTTCCTTTTAGTATGTTTTGCAGAAAACAATTATATAAATGATAACTTTGGGTCTTTCTCAGTAAGTTTTCTCAGTGTTGTAGTTTTGATTTGGCGCCAAATTTGATATTCTCGTAGCCTGGCCTTGTACACAGGAAGCCCAAAGATGCATACAATACGGAATCACTCCGGAACCGATAGTACCCCGGAAGCAATCCCTTAAAAATAACAAGCAATCAGCGAATTGCTTTATCATTATTGATTGCGATTGGACAAGCAATGACTTCATTGAGTACATTCTGGGTGCAAAGCCCCATCAATTTTGTCTTGGTTGGTATCAAGCAGTAATTTACTTATTATTATAAGCTTACAGAGAAAGGGTATGCAATCAGGGCATATCTGTAGGAGTAAGGAAGTACTTTTTGTATATAGTTGATTGACAAAAGATTGTAGTAGCACATGACCCACACCAACAGGATTCTGGGTAAAATTCAATGAACTGGCAAATTAGGCATAACAACACCTTCTGCTACAGGGTCAATTTGTTTTGGCTTTTATTCTCTTTTTAAGAACTATTTGTCCCCTCAATGATGGAAAACAACAACAAAAATCAACACCACAAACATGCATAATTAAACTCCCGTGATTTGGGAATTTTTGTCACAATCATGTGTCAGTTCTTCCAATCACAAAGGCGTTCAAATCTCTAATTTGCCAGGTCATCGATTTTTACCCACAAACCAGTTCGGGCTAGTCGCATTTCGTGCAGCCCGTTCGACAACAACGTTTTTTCAATCAACTATATTGTATGACTGTACAAGTGTGCTCCATTTCTTGTAAAGTACTAACAATATGGTAAGCCTAGATCAATATATGAATGCTAAGTGCAGATAAATCATGGAAGCTGTGGTGGTAAGACAATTATATTAATTATACCTAAAACAAAAAATAATAATTTATTAAAATGATAAAACTTATATATGATACATTATACTAAAAGTCAAATGCTCCTTAAAAATGAAAAGGATTTTAATTAATTTGGATAAAACAAACTAAAGTAGCTCTGTTCGCAGAGTAAAAAATAACTAGACATTTCAATTTGCAATCCGATCCATTTTCCTCACTAATAATTGCAATAAGTCAAGTCACAGAGAAAAATGGATTTGTCCACAGAATATGACTAACAAAACTATTGACTAATTTTGCTTTGTTTTGTGCCTATTTGACTACTCCTTGGCAGAATTTGTTTCTCATCTTTACAAATGAAGCCCTTCTACTGCGTTGTCAACTATTTTGTTTTTTCGATCTGTATGGCTATAATCATAAAAACAGTCAAACACAAAATTTCAATTGAATTCCAACTGCCTTGATTTTTACTAAAATAGATATAAATATAAAATGCAGCTATAGTCAACAAAATTACAAAGTTTACACAATATATATTAACAATAAGAATTTAATTAAAAACAAAAGATTGAAAAAAATCCATAAAAAAAGTTGAAACAGTTATTCTATAACAACATATCCAGAGCGATTGATTTTTTTCCTGCAAAACAAGGTAAAAAGAGCAAATAAATGATAAAATTTAAATAATCATATTTATTTATTGGAGGACTGCCACATCATTTTATTCATGAATCAGGGGTGCACAACAACTACTAATTAGCTAGTTCTTGAATATACTGACAGGAGAAATACCCTCAAAGCAAAGGAGAGAACCTCCCTACCAACTAAAATCAGGATATGAGCTAGTACCACTGAAATAATAGACCAATGTTTTCACACTGTATGTGCTTGTTCAATTTGGCAATCAAAATGTTAACACAACAAAAGTGCATGCAAATGTTCATCATGATTATGACAATAGGTGCTGGCCAACAGCAGCCCGCGCATTCTCCTCTCAGAAAAAAATAATAAATAATGAAGTCAAGAGCTAATTAAAATTACAGTTTAACAAACATGGTAAACATAGTATATATGCAATTTTCATCATCTATTGTCACCTATGTTGCAGGTAATAGTAAATTCAATTATATTATTGATTATACCTCAACAGCTTATCGTATAACAAAAGGAAATGTTGTAATCTTACCGTCTTCTAATTAAGAACCATATTGGAACAATAATGACAAAAGAAGCACCAGCAATAGCACACAGTGTTAAAACCAATGGCATTCCATTCTAAATTTAAGAATAGAGATCATACAATTAATCCAAGAACTCAAAACAAATATAAAAATGAAAAAAAAAACAGTAAATAACTAATTTGAAGAACCAAGTTCCAAGGATCAGACAGCTTGTACAGCTGCCTACTCAAAAACCACTCAAAAATATGAAATAATACTAAATAGCACTGAGGTCTGTGTAGAACAATACTTACCATAATCAAACACCTATATTCATTATATCCACTAGAACATAAGCATTCATAGAAACCTAGTAGTACAATTCAAAACACCTATTATAATATATGATAATTTTTCTCATATTAGCCTGGGAAGAGAGGCTCCTGAGGTGGCCTTTTGAGGGGAGAGGGGGGTAGTAACAGTCTAAGTTAGCCACCACAATCCTTTTTTTCAAAACAAAATATATAATTGCCAATAAATTGATAAAAAGAATAACAGTAAAACTCACATTTATGTGATGATTGACAGTACAAAAGGGAAACAAAGAATTTTAAGAATCTTAAAAGACTCTTTTGATGCACCGAGTGAATAAATCGCGGCGTTTGGACATCTGGATATTTCTGCCAAAGCTAAGATCCCTTTTGTGATGTACTCTCTCATGTGCATATAAATTAATATCCAATGATACATTAACAGATTCTTACCAGGTCCATTGCTGACACAGTGTGAGTGAGTAGGACAGGTTCCTTACAGAGAAAGTCAGGATGTCAACCGAATGCAGTAAAAACAGCATCAGCACTTCTATTTTACTTTATGCGTATTCAATGTGAGATGACAAGAGTGCTTTACTAAAGTGATTCGCGTATGATCAGTTTGCCCCATTTATCTCAAAACTTATTTTTACGATTATAATTTCTCCAAGAATTTTAACAGATTTAAGATCAAATTAATGTTGGAGTTTTTTAAGCCATTTAAAACACTCGAGATCGTGTTTTAAACTAACATAAAAATTTCCAAAGAGCAGCAAATTGTGTGGCTTCAATTAAATTTTAAAATTTGATGCCTTTCAGTTCACAATTTAAATTGAGCAAAAACAATAAAGTACATCATTATGACTGTGCATTTTTAATGCTGATGATCTCTCAAAGTTGATCATGATCATTCAAAATCTTTGAGAAAGAACCTTTTTCTCAGCAACCATATGGAAACTAGTCTTAATCATTGTCAGCTCTAATATTAGAGAATATACATACTATTCAGTACTTGGCAGTTATTCATTTGTCCTGTACAATTATTGAATGAAATCATTCTATTATGGTATCTCCATAAACCATTACCACCTGGGCATGATCTGCATTTACTTGGAAGAATTCTGTTTGGAAAGTATTGTTTAATTTATTAGTGCGTACTCATTCTGATTAGAAATTCAATGTTCAAACAAATTAAAAATTTTAAAGTTTAGGCCATATGCATCTGTTTAGAAAACTTATTCATTTTCTCGAGCTTTCGTCAGTCACCGACATCATCAGGAGAGTGATGGAAATTTACATAAACGCAAATATAAAGAGTATAGGACGCTGGGTGACCTTCAATTATAGCCTCTTGTATTACAAATCTACAATATTTTGCTTTTGAAATATAAAATGAAATATAATACTAAATGATCATTCATCTTTGATTTTTTTCAGTTATGTTGATATCAAATAAATTTGTATCATTATAGACAATTTGCACAAATAAAAAAGTAATGCATAACCATCATAATAACTTACATCATTTGTAAATTCTGAAATCCTTTAAAAGTTGTTGTTGAGTTATCTTTATTGCAATTTAGATTTGGGTTGAAAGCAAAATTTCTAAAAGTAAAAAGAACAATTAATGATTGGGATTAGGATTCACTTGAGATGAAACATAGTTCTTTAAGATATTTCACTTACAACCAAGAGATGTCTTCAATATGGCTCAACTTAGGAACATTGGTCAGACTGCAATTACCTAAATCAATTCTAAAAATATGACAAATTAGAGATCTAATGTAGATGACCCGATCAATAGTGTATCTAGTGTATGTTATAATAGTGTATGTTAACAGAGGTGAACAGAATACTTTTTCACATATCCATAGACTTGAATACTGGGACTGACTTGATCTGCATTGCTTTGTTTTGTTGTTGTTGTAACGAAGTGCTCTTAACCGAAAACAACGTCTCATCTAACAGTAAAGTAAAAACAGCACTCACCCAATAGTGACATTAGAGGGATTTAAACAACATCGACCATACGTTAAGAAGTTCTGATTACAATATTTGTCAAGGAAATCTGTTTTTGCTGTTCCACAAAAGGTGCACAAATACTCATCAAGCTGTCCATCAAGCTTGGAAGGAGATGATTTCGACAGCAATTGACCAAAACAATCTTTAACTATGCATGCTAGAAAAAAAACCAATACGTGATCCCTTGCACTGACATGAAACGTAGATTTGACTTTCATCTTGGACTAATATAATTGAATTTTTACATGCGGAAAAGGCGGAAATAATTACTGTAGTGAATTTTGCCATGCAGTTGATCATGTGATTTGTTCGACACAGGAAACCCATGAAATAGTAGAAGGTTATAGACTCTTCCGCAGTCCCCTGCTCGGCTTTTGGTCTTACTGCGAGAAGACCAAAAGCCGAGCAGGGGACTGCGGAAGAGTCTATAGAAGGTTATTGTTTCATAGTGCGCAAAAGACAATATTATTAATATAAGAGATACAACATGTGTATTTCTAGATATATATAAATATATCAAATTTAAAGTGATAAATAAATCTGAAGATCTGACAGATTTAAAGCAGCCTGGATTTAAAGCAAGAAAAAGTACTTGGCTGAGTGGGGCCTGGTTCCTTGGTTACGTGAAATATCATCCGAAGAAGCGGCAAGCAATGGCGACGAAGTAGAATTCAGCAAAAAATATATAATATAATCGAACGATTCCTTATTCACAGTTGTCAACATGCAGCTACGCTACATGAAAACGTTGATGAACCCACAGGTAAGAAATGGTGTAAGAAATTTGCTCTATTAACTAGAATTTCATTCCTAATATCGGCGGAAAACTCTGTTGTCAAAGTAAGCTTAAGTTAAAACATGAATCCACCATCTGAGCCTGATTGGTAGCAAGGCAGTTCTCTGAAAAAAAAGCAAAAAAAAAAAACACACACACACACAACGAAAAAAAAAATAAGCGTAATTGTTTGATTTTAGTGACTCGAAAAGTTTATAATCAATAAGTACGACAAAAATCACCGCTGTTAAACATTCAAAACTGCAGTAAAATTTAACCGCTTGATTTTCGCTTTGCCAAATGTCTATGAAGATGAGATGGTATCCTGTTCATAGAGACTATATTGAATGAGTTAATTTGGTGGACCTATAATAATTAATATATGACAATGAAGTTTTTAGCCCGGTCAAACCATTTGGATGTGCTAAAAATCTAAAAAAAATCACATATTATAACTGAAGTCATTACCTTTTGACAAGGTAACACTTATAAGGTAGCTCTTTCATTTGAAAATGGTGAAGAGATTTAAAAGTAGCTGAATAGCCAGCGTAGAGGCCCTCTTGGGATCCCTGTAGACGAGGAAAGAGGACCTGCCGTCTGGAAATTCTGGCTGCTCTCCGTTCTCTAGCCAAACGGAGATAATGATTGGTCGATTTACAAATACATGTCAATCATAAAGAATATTACATGTAGCGGAAAACTCAAATAAACTTCAAATGAAGAAAAACAATGAAGTGCTTTGTAATAGTCAATAAAAATTATCAAGAGAAAGCTCGTTAATAGACAGAGAGAACTTCGAAATATTGTAAAATTTCATCTTGGCATGAGCTATTCAAAGAACCCATAAATACCTGAGATTTATAAATAAGTAAGAGGAGTGTTTGGCTACCTTGCTCAAGGCATAGATGATATAACCTCAAAACTTCTTTGCAATTGAAAGAATTTTACAAAACTATTGTCTTTTCACGAATGACTGAGCTTTATGCATGGCATATCATCTTGATTCCTGTGTGTGCAATATACTGAGACAAAACTCGCAAGTCGGCTATTAAAATGTCCAATAGGATTTTTTCTGTTGCATTCCCTGCATGTTATTGGTATTTGTTACATTACATGTAGTTTATATTTTACCTTCTGGAAGGATGGCGCCTGTAAAGTCACTGCAATAGCTTGTGCACCAAGCAACCAAAAGATGGCTGTTGTTACCATGGATAGAGTAGTAATTCTTTATGATGAACTTGGGGAAAAAAGAGACAAGTTTTCTACAAAACCAGCAAATCCACAGGTAATTTTTTAAACAAATATTATWAATATTTGTTTAAATTTTGATGGATATTGTCATTTGAATAAAAACATCAGGGAAAAAAAGTATGGAATGTTTGTAGCAATTCTCAATTCTAGTTCAGATGATTTTTGTATAATTTTCATAACACTAAATTGGAGTCACATGACACTTATAAAATTCCAATTCCTCAACCATGTGCCCATAGATATCCATATGTATTGTGTATACAAATGGTGAATTACAGTAACAGCAACAATGAATTAGCCATAATAAATTGCATTGTTTTCAGGCTGGTAAGAAAAGCTATATAGTGAAAGGACTGGCTTTTTCACCAGATTCTACTAAAATTGCTGTTGGACAAACCGATAACATTATTTTTGTCTACAAGATTGGTGAAGAATGGTAATTTATGAAATCAACACTTTACTGCCCTATGCAAAATAAGAATATGAATCATCCAATTTTCATTAAATAATTATTGCATAGAGATCATATTATATTAAAAATAATTGATATATTAGCCATATAAATTTTTTTCTAGAACTCAATTCTTATGATGATTCATATCAATTTTTAAGGGGAGACAAGAAAGTTATATGTAACAAATTCATTCAACAAGTAAGTATGATATTTGATAAATATGATCATTATAGCTGTATTTCAGGATGCATAATCCCGACAGTAACCGCTGAATATGCTACAAAACAATCCTGAAACAATACTAACAATCATTATCATTATTACTGAGTACACACAATGTAAATTTTATTCCATGTGTTAAAGCCCCAGATAAGCAAGAAATGATGCATCAACCCTGGTGCAAATCCTGGCTAGGATCTTATAGGTGTGGCGAAGAGAAATGATTAAATAATACAAGTTCTGGTTCTAACTTTAATCTCGTCTTCGCCATTACATCTTATTTTACCATGTGCTTCTACACATCCCATAATTGTATTACAAGAGGGAGCCCAATATGTTGTGGTGATTCTGCGACAATAGGTTCTTAACCAGGATCTTGTCAGGATCCTATACAAGATCCTATTCAAGATCCTACAGGATCTTGTAGGGTCCTATATCCTGTTTAGGATCTATCCTGCATAGCGTCCCTAAAGGGATGAGGGAGGGCGAGCAAAGAATGGGGAGGAAGGAAAAAAAGGAAGGGCCTGCACTCAGAGAGCCCCACAGTTTTACATAAAAAAAAACCAAATTAATGTTTTATGGTGTTTGTTGATCTGGCCCAGACCACAAAATGACATCAGCACATGACAATAACGTAACGTCATCATATGGTGTTTTTGTTGAGGAATAAATTTTAATTTTTTTTTATAAATAATAAATGCTTGTTAGCTGTTTTTTATGATTTATCAATTTCATCTTCAACTTGTTATTTTCAGAGTGCTGTAACATGCCTTATTTGGCCTCCTGAACAGCAAAATATCATCTTTGGACTAGCAGATGGCAAGGTAAACACTATTAGTGCAACTCTCTGAATATTATATGCCTGGGTTATATTTCTTACTTAATACACAAGATATTGGGTTGTGGTAATAGAAATGTAAAGAATGATATGAATAATATGTAGACCATGATAGCTCTAATAAAAACAATTATTATAAAGTTATTCCAGGCAAAAATGGACCCTTGGAAATAAATTCTGAAAAATTAATTTCTGACCTCTCTGGGATTCGCCGTAATAATCTCCTTTCCAAGCAGTATTACTTCTATTTCATGTAYTGCCTGTTTTAGGTGAGACTTGCTAGTTTAAAGAACAACAAGTCCCAAACTATATATGGAACAGATAGCTTTGTTGTTTCACTGACTCACAAGTAAGTATTAAAAACAGAAACTTTCTCATACCTTTTACAACAAAAACATACTAGCCAGGGTTAGTAAGGAATTCATCTGATTTGGTAAATGAAGTAGTACTAAACAATTGTTTAATTATATTTATTTGGCTGATTTACTTTATTTTAGTATCTCTGGCAAAGGTATTCTTTCAGGACATGCTGATGGTGCAATTGTCAGATATTTTTTTGATGACGAAGGAACTGGATTGTCACAGGTACTTTTTTCATTACCTTGTGCTTTAGTCAATCAATAACATGTATTTATCCCGGGGGGGACTCCTTAATAGGGTTTGTCATAAACTCAATACAAGCCAGCGGTGTTTGATGAGGAAATTTTTTTATAAGGGAATCCCCCCTCCCTCCCCGAGGTATTTATATGGTTGCAGACAAGTCAAAGAACAGCAAAGTAATTCCTCAGATAATTTGTGCAGCTTAAATTGCATATTCCTATTAGCTTACACAGAATAGATCATGACTCGTGTTTGTCATATTGTTACCTATTAATTGCGGCTATGGCATGCCTACATGTGGAGATCACATAATTCAAGGTTTGGTTACCTGGATATATATCTTAATTCCTGGTAATGGAAAAATAGAGACACAGGCTAGGCTGTCAAATGGCAACGTGATAATGATTGCGATGATCATTTAATGATAATCTTATACAACTATATCACCCTACAACAAAGTTACAGATCAATTTGATGCAGTGTGAAAATGGTCTTACTACTTCCCCTTGCCTGTTTCTTGTAATGTTATTAAACTTGTTGATTTACATGTATGTCAAGGGCCAACTGTGTAAGCATTCTTGTCCCCCGTATGCTTTATGTTGGGGCTCATCAATAGTAGCAGCTGGATGTGATAAAAGAGTTGTTGCCTATGGCAAGGAAGGTAATTCATTGTAAATATCAAATTTCAACAAGTCAATTATTTACCATGATACTCAATCTATTTAAATGAAACATGTAGGGCGTGTTATCCAGAACTTTGATTACTCAAGAGATGATGATGAAAAAGAGTTTACTACAGCTGTGTGTAGTCCTAGTGGCCAGTCAGTGGTGATTGGGAGCTTTGATAGGTGTGTTTGACAGTATTCAATGTATCATTCTATACATATTTTATCTTTAATATTTATTTTTCATCATGAGTTTTTTGTACTGTGAAGCGTTATAGAATTTTACTATATAACGCTATATAAATTGAATAAATTATTATTATTATTATTATTACTATTATTATTATATATCTACATGTACATTGTAGTCTATTATTTACTAATTTCTGATATTTTTAATAACTAAGTTTTTTAAAATGATTTATTGTTGTTTCCTTAAGATTAAGAGTTTATAACTGGAGTCCACGAAAAGGATCATGGGATGAATCAAAATTGAAAGAAATTCCCAATCTCTACACCATTACAGCATTGTCATGGAAACGGGATGGCTCAAGGCTTATAGCGGTATCTATAGAGCAAACTCTTTGGAATCATTTAAATTATTTAAAAATCCAGTCACTAAATAGCTGCTAAAACAGTTAACTACTTTGTTAGTAACTAGCATTATAGTTTCAATTTTCTTTTTTGGTAGGTTACTACAACTTAAAATATGACATTTTTTTAATTCGCTTGCTTTGCTTCAAACCTGAATTGCATTTTCTCAAGTCATTTAATTATTATTATTTTTTTCATTTCTACCATTCTTCCCAGGGAACACTGTGTGGTGGTGTTGAACTATTTGATTGCTGTTTAAGACGTTCCATTTATAAGAATAAGTTTGAAATGACATATGTTGGGCTTAGTCAGGTATATTAAGTGTTGTTTATAGTACGAGAGTGTGTGTTTTATGGGGATATATAGATTCAAACTGCAGGCGATAATCTATATACCCGATAAAACACGCMGTCAAGTTCTATAAACGACTTCTAGAACTCCAACATTCAGAAATTGTTATCATTTTAGAAAAAAGCTAAAAAATGCGAAAAAGTGATAAATGCATATCGAACTTCTAATGAGCATGTGCATTGTGCCACAATTGAAAGAATTTTGATCCCACATGAAAGAACAGCTAGTCTGGCTGCATGTCGGAACATTGATCCAAACTGATTTAAAACCTAGCAAAGGTCTATGATGCAACATTAAAACTGAGACCTTTGCTAGTGTTGGGTTGCGATAAAGTGCTAGCCTGATGAACTTGATCAGTTCTTTATATCTGATATAGAACTGATTAATAAAACATCAGTAAGTACTTTATCGGATATAAAGGCCCATCATGTGACCCAATAGTTTGATGTTCATTGGACTAATACCTCATGAATTATTAATGAGTTCTAGAAAACTATTAAATCCATTAAAAAAGGTTGAAAGTGATATTAATAACAACTCATTGACAATGGTTTTCCTTTCTTTGTTTAATATATTTACCATTAAATATACACCTGTAGCTATTTCAGAAAATGTTGAATACTGCAGATGGTTCATTCCAAGATTCATATGCATGTTGATTGCACGTTCTATCACATTTCAAAATAAAAGGAGATCGAGAGCTGACTATGCCAGCTCCATTTAGTCAAGAAATTCAGTTTAGAACTGTCATTTTATAACACAGCTAGCATGGAGTTCCACTGAAACAATGCATCATCATGTTCTTGGAGCAGTATTTAGAGTTTTCTGAAATATAGTTAAGTTGTATTTATCTTCAAGTAGAAATATATTACATATTATATTATTATCTTTTTAGGTCATTGTTAAAAATCTTTCATCTGGAACACGTGTTGTTCTGAAGTCACACTATGGCTATGAGGTACAAACTCCTTGCATGAATTTACCTCCTTGACAAAGTTACTTTAATTTATTAGTTAATTATGCTTTCATAAGGTTGATAAAGTCAGCATTATGGGAAAAGATCGTTACTTGGTGGCTTACACTACGGACACATTATTACTTGGTGATCTTAACACCAACAAGCTAAGTGAAGTGAGTTACTAATATAACCTAATAATATCATAATTTTTTTCATGATTGGAGTGGACAGGATCTGCAGTATTATATAAATAATTTTTATATATAATATGTTGTTTTTCAGGTTGCATGGCAAGGTTCAGGTGGAAATGAAAAGTACTTTTTTGAAAATGAAAATGTAAGTATTGTGAAAAGTTTATAAATATTTAACAGGGTATTTTGCAAATGATGAAATGCATTTCTTAACTTTGTTCCAGGTGTGTATGGTGTTTAATGCTGGAGAGCTGTCTCTAGTAGAATATGGTAACAATGAGATCCTTGGAACTGTGAGAACTGAGTTCATGAATCCTCATCTTATTAGGTAGAAAGAAAACTTGTTCAATTTGACTTTTTGATACAATCAGCGTGATAAGTTAATATTAAGTGATTCTATAATTTAAATGTCTCAAAATGCCTTGTTTAGTACACAAATCATCCAGTCTTTTCTTCGATCCAAATTGTGCTTTAATATGATCTGGTCAACTAAGTACAAGTCAGAATAAAGCTACAATCAATCTAAGTTACATAAGTTCCAACATGAGTTGCAATCATGTAGATTTTTCAACATTGGCAGGTCAATAGACATTAATTCACAATTAAAAGATAATCGCAAGAAATCTTGCTAATCAGATAATACACCTTACTCCATGAAGTGATTAACTATTCTAACCATTCAATGGCGAAGTAATGATAAATTAAATGTAACCCTAATCGTAGTTGATCCCTCTGATTTGACTAATTGACTTTTGTGAGTTTGGTAGTTTCTATTTTTTTTGGTAGGGAAGTCACTACTGTGTGGTATAGTGAATAGTTTATTCCAATAAGATGACAATCTTTGAAAAAGTAATTTGTTTAAAATACTTTTCTAGTGTTCGTCTTAATGAACGCAAGCAACAGGGAATTGATGACAACAAAAAGATGGCATACTTGGTCGATTTGAAGACTATCAGTGTTGGTGAGTTTTTTCATTGTAGATATGAACGTACTACTAGTATCATTTAGAAGATATATTGTACTAGTCGATAAACACTTTACTAGATAGATGTGATAGATAATTTTTATTCATAACTAGGTTGTAGACAGTTTGATACAACTATATAATTATATCTGTATAATTTATTGAATAACTTCTTTTAACAGTCTGAAAGCTGAGAATTGCATAATTTACATATTAGCCAATAATTTCCCGATGGCAATTCAAAGGACTGTAACTTTTACACCATCATTTTTTAAAAGCTCTTAATTATCCAAATAACCTTTTAGGTCTTACTCAAATGCTATATTTCTCTCATCCATTTCAATTGATTTTTTTAATTTGATCATAAAGACCATCAAATGTTTATTTTATTCAGTTGATCTTCTGTCTGGCATTATAGAAGCAACTATCAGTCATGACTCTAAGATTGATTGGCTTGAGGTATTTATAACAACATACAGTCTACTAAAATTTAGCATTGCGACAATGATTCAGTTATAATAAAGACTAATAGTTTATATATCTTATTGTGCATTAATTGAATGGATGTTATTGTTTGTCTTTGTAGCTCAATGAAACTGGGAAATATTTACTATTTAGAGATAAAAAACTGAAAGTAAGAGACTGCTTGGATGACTTCAATGGCAAATTCCAGACCTGAAAATAAAGGATTGATCATAATTATTGATAGGGATCTCTCTATAACTATATGAATTTATATTTTTAATGCATTCATAAAATGAAAATTATGTTTCCAGAAAAAAAGCTTCATTTAATTTTCTTCTTGTAATGATCAAAGATAATGAAAGCAACAGTTTTTTGAAAATTATTGAATGCACTTTTTGTATTTATTATTATAATGCCTTTCAGCTCCATCTTTTGAATGTGGAAAGCCAAACCCGTACAACTATCTTGAATTATTGCACATATGTTCAGGTAGGATTATATAATACATATTATACTAGATATTGAAATGATACATAATTATACATAATACATAAATTAGCACTTTCTAAGATCCATATCTCAGCTCTTTGAATAATTTGTTTTTAATGTCTTTAATAAGTGGGTACCAATGAGTGACGTTGTAGTTGCACAAAACAGAGGGAACCTTTGTATTTGGTACAACATTGATTCACCTGAAAGAGTGACCATGTTTCCTATAAAGGTGAGAAATAAAAAAACTACATCCTTTATTTATGATTATATTATAATTATTAATAACTTTTTAATTTCTTTTGCACACATTTGATTCAAATAATCAGTTATAAATTATATAGTTTAAAACACGATCTCGAGTGTTGTAAACGGCTTCAAAAACTCAAACACTAATTTGAAACTCAAACCCATTAAAATTGTTTGCTGTTTGAAATTTTGGTAAAGCTAAAGTACAGCTCAATCGCGTTTTACGTGCAATTACATTTTGTTCATTTTTGTGTCTCAAAGGGAGAAATTTTGGACCTTGAGCGAGTTGATGGTAAAACAGAAGTTATAGTAAATGAAGGTGTCACCAATATATCATACACATTAGATGAAGGTCTGATTGAGTTTGGTACAGCTATAGATGATGGCGACTATGTCAGGTATTTTAATATTAAATTAATAGTATGTGTTGCATATCATTTCATAAAAGCTTAAGGAACAATGCATGACAATGATAACTTTATTTCATAGTTTAGTTCTATCAATGCCTTGCAGTCTTCCCACTGACTGCAGCATTTGCTCATTGATATATCCAGGGCTATAACTTTTCTGGAAAGTCTTGAGATGTCACCTGAGACTAATGCTATGTGGAAGACCTTGAGTAAACTAGCTCTTGAGGGACGTCAACTTCATATCGCTGAGCGTTGTTTTTCTGCACTTGGAGATGTATCTAAATCCAAAGCACTTAGACAAATCAACAAAATAGTTGACCAAGCAGCTGATGAAATGGTAACTGCAAGACCATTTTAATTAGTAAATCGAATGAAATACCAGTCTGTTCATACATGTAAAATATTAATTTGTTCATTTCGTGATCTTATTTAGTTGAGTTTAAGAGTAACTTCTGAGCTGTTTAACTGATGTTAGTTGACATTACAGTAAATGGTACTTTGTTGTAGGTTATTTGTTAATTATTTTTAGATATTTATAAAATACCAGAAAAGTCACTATATTCAGTAGCAGTAACTCTGCTTTTAATTATTAAGTTATTATTTTGATAATGTTCCAACTTCACTAATTTGTTTTTGCTTTAAGTGTAAACCCTATATTAATACTAAAATCTGTATTGTCCAAAGGGGGGAGATGGTACAAATCATGTGCTTGTAAGAGCAAAACTTGCTGTTTTGGACAAGAATTTCAAACTTGCAGAAACAATTCTGTTAGAACAAGGTCATGTGGATGAAGCCATTGAGATGTATCAAGAACTTCATAAATGGGATGAGGCTATTGCAGTTGCTGAAGCTAAGGTATTCTACGAAAATTCTAAATTCATTGCCTTTCATGGATTTTAATTTATTTAGAACTTTTTAATGAGTAGGGTAGTAAATAAATAAGATTGAGCTGGGTAGTAGTTAATAATATAATCTTAGGCAGGCCCTCAAACTAAATAAAATATGGAATGATATTATTAGTAAAAAAATAATTTTAAATTACAATTTATTGTAAATCACTCTCTGGTTGATAGGGTCATCCTGAGTTGGAAAATCTTCGTTCCAATCACTATCACTGGTTATCAGATACTGGGCAAGAAGAAAAGGCTGGTGAGGTAAGGACTAAGAATCCGACAATGTGAAAACTCCCAACCTGTAGGTCTGCCAACAATATATATTACATAGATTGAACAGCTTGTTAATTACAAAATTGGCATTTTTACAACGTAACAATTATACAGTATCCATTGTAAGTATGATTACATTAATTTTGATAAGCAGATTAAATAGCCAGCATGTCAACATTTATATTAGGTCAAAGAAATGGAAGGTAACTACCTGGAAGCCATTAATTTATATATGAAGGCTGGTTTGCCTGCTAAAGCTGCAAGACTTGCCATGAGTAGAGAGGTACCGACAACAATTGAATCAAATGTTTTACATAGCAAATGTGTAAAACATTCAGCATTAGAGAACATTTTTGTCTTCTAACATGTAATATTTATAAACAATTTGTGCACTGTTTTGTTAAAGGAGCTTTACCAGTCAACAGACTTGATGGAGCGCATTGCATCATCTTTACTAAAAGGAGGTTTATATGAAAAGGTATCATTTTGTCTATGATACTGCTTTTGTGTGGATGATGTTTTAACATCTTCAATTAATTAGAATTAATTAATTAATTATATGATGTGCAGCAGTATCAAAATATTGAATCACTTTAGGCTGGAGAGCTGTTTGAGAAAGTTGGCCGTAATGACAGAGCATTAGAGGCATATAGAAAAGGTGGAGCATATAGAAGAGGTATATTGAACATTTTATATTTATTTTGTGTTTTGTTGTGAACTACTTGTGTGGCTGATGACTTTTTCATTTATCTAACTGACAGCTGTTGAGCTGTCTCGTGCTTCCTACCCTCATGAGGTTGTCAAGCTGGAGGAAGAATGGGGTGATCATTTGGCATCACAAAAACAACTGGATGCTGCAATCAATCATTACATTGAAGCAGGGTGAGCAAGTGGCTTGTATTCTAAATAGCTATATGATGTCATGGTAATTCTGTTTCATCAACCAAATTTGTTTATTATTTACCAAGCTTTCGGGCCCATGCTCTCGGGGTTACAATGGTCTGACGGATAAAAACGGTAAGAAATTTACGAATACAAACAAATGATGCACATGCTTGAGATGGCGCTTATTCAAGCACGTGGCGTACTGCTAAATAAGGAACGCAAAACATAGTGGAAGAAAGATTCCGGCAAATAACATTACACTCTAATTGTAATTTGTAATCTTTTTTTTTTATTCTTCATACCATTGTAACCCTGAGGATGGCCTGAAATATACGCCGCCTAGACCCGATGCGGGTAGAACGCTAAAATATAAATATAATAAAGATAAAGATGAATTCTGTTTAATCAAGTCCCACTTATACTGTAGCTTTCTTTCGAGCTCGGTGCTCCTTTCGTCGCAGGTAATTTGCAGTTCGATTTGCGTTTACAATTCCACAAACATTTTCAATGGTTCTTCTCCAGAGTGGTCGGTCGACAACCAAGTCCTGCCATCGATCTAAGATTCTTTCCGACTTAAAAACACTTTTGCAGGTGTCCTTGTAGCGCAATTTTGGTCGACCAATAGGACGAGTGCCTTTATCAAGCTCGCCGTACATGATGGCCTTAACAGGACGGTTGTTGTCCATTCTTGACACGTGACCAAGCCAGCGCAAACGACTCTTAATAAGCGTGATCTCGATATCCTCAGCATCTGCTCGCCGTAACACCTCTTCATTACTCACATAGTCGCTCCACTTGATGCGAAGAATCTTTCGCAAATGACGTTGTTGAACAGTACGGAGCTGGTTGATATTGTGTCGATACAGTGTCCAGGTTTCACAACCGTATGTCAGGAGTGGCGTCAAACATTGGACATAGACTTTCAGCTTTGTAGAGAGCGTAAGATTGGGGGAGTCAAAAACACAATCACCGAGCCGACCGTATGCAGATGATACAGCTTGTATACGCATGATGAGCTCAGCATTCACTGAGCAATCGCTGGTAACAATACTTCCGAGATACTTAAAGCGGTTTACATTTTGGATTGGCATGCCATCGATAAAGAACTGCTCTTCAGGACCAATGCACATG